TGTCGCTGCCCCCGTCGCTTGCCTCCCCCAACCGTCTGGTGGCGCCCGGGTCCCCGGAGCTGCCCCCGTGTCCAGCATGGTCCCCGTGGGCCTGGGCGGGCCGGCCGGCGGGTGTTTCGCGCCCTCTCTGCAGGCGGCACAGGTCGCCTCTGCCGCGGGAAACTTGCCCGACTGCGCTGGGCCCCTCCGGGCAGATGCCGGTGCGGGCGGTGGGACGCCCTGCCCCGTCCCCTAAGGGCCGGTTGGCTTTGCGAAGACGCTGGAGGGGCCTCGGGGTTAAAGGGTGAGGTTACACTTGGGAATTGGGCGCTTATCAGGAATCTGATGGTAACCTCGCCAGAAGCAACTTAAGAATGTTTGTTTAAGAGATAGATACAACTACCACTTCAGTTGCATTGGTGGTGAAACCCAGCCCCATGAACATGCGAACGGCATTTTCTAGAAAAAATTGAATTGTGATGTGTGGATCTTTTATGAGAGCGTTCCTTTCCCCTGTTTTCTTGCGGAAACGAGCTGGAGAAGAATCCCAGCTGGGAACTGCGGAGCACGGGACTCCGGGGTGGAGAAAGGGGTGTAGGACCCAGAGGGCTTGTGATCATTCCTAGAAAAAGCGGTGATGTGTGAAGACAAGTTATCTTTCACGAATAGGAGATGGAAAGCGAGTGTTTTGAGGACAAGCTATTCTGGAATGTATATTCAAAAGAAAGAAAGAAAAGTCCAAATCCCTGGCTTTGAGAAGGCTTTAAAGCACTCGGCAGCCTGTGCGCTGGCCTGCAGGTAGCTCCCGAGTGTGGAGCTGGGGTGGGAGCCTCCAGGCCTCCGGAGGTTTACTCTCTCTCATTCTGTCGGTGCGTGAAGTGTGCAGAGTACTTCATTCATTTTGGAATGTGCATTCAGAATTTCTTTTTCCTGAATGGGTGTAACTACAAGAAAATGTTGAGATCCCTCGATTGTTGTTTTAAAAAGCATGTTTGTGTCTAAGGCAGAACCGGTGGTGTATGACCCTGGGCAAGTGGGTACCACCTTAAGTCTCATTTCCTTTCTGTAGTTGCGTAAATTAACGTAATACCCTACTCACGGGATTCTTAAATAGATCGGGGTGGGAAGAGTGAGCGAGATAGTTACCGTTATATCTCTACGTTTATCGATAATTTGTATAAGGCACTTATTGAACCCGACAAAAAGTAAGTACAGTTGACATGTTAGGGTTGTTACAGCGGAAAAACAGGTTTTACTCAAAGGTTTATTTCACCGAGTGCTTAGATGTAGAATTTTATGTAAAACCTGCCTAAATCCTAACTATCACTTTTAGACTTCAGTTAGGAAAATTAATCAAAGTTGTACTTGGCTTACTTTTCAGGAATTAATGCACAACACAAATTACCGTAATAGTATGAAGGCATATTTAAATGCTACTGTTCTATCTACTCAGAAGTCCAGATGACTGAGAGTCAAGTAGTCAAGTACAGTCACTTATATTAACGTTAGCATTTTTGCTTCACTAATTAATGAAATACATCTTTCCTCACTCAACATACTTTCGCTGGTGACCAAATTCAAAATAATTTCTGTGGCTTCCTTAGCTCCGCTCCCCAATCCACCTCTACAGCAGGGTATGTTTTACTTCCTGTTGGCCTCTCCATCTCGGTGTCCTAGGAGCACTTCAAACTCAGTGTTTTCAAACAAAATAAATGTATTCTATATCCTCCCTCCTTGCCAAACCTGCTTCATCTGATTATAATGGCATTTTTGCATTAAATGTGTAGATTGTTTCTGAAAATTAAATGCAAAGTAAAATTTTATAAAGCATAGTAACATTGGAGGGACACATCACAATAGAATCTCTTATGTAGTTTTATACATTAACAGAGGGTAGACAAGAAGATGAACAGATTAATAGCCAGTTTACAGGCCATAAACAGTTAAACTGTTAAATTCAGTTCATGCCTGGAGGAACTTGGGCATTAAAGAGGTTTGAATGTAGGTTTTCACAAACCTGGGTTTGGATCTGGGCTACATAAACCTGGGCAAATGTCCTCTTCAGCCTCAGTACCCCCTTTTATAAAATAAGGACAGTTTATACGGATGTTGAGGATTAACATGTTAAGCGCCCAGTCAGTCACCAGTGACTGACACTATACTTTCCGTCCGGAAGACAAAACAGGCTGGGCGCTTAACGTGTTAAGGGAAATACATAGAATGTTTATCTCCACAGCTAAGCACATAGTCTAGCAAGTGGTTATTCAACAAATATTAATTCTACGCCCCCAAGTGACCCAATCTTTTAAATCTCTTGGTTTCATCTCTTCCCATCATCTCCTGATGTTGCTGTTGTTTTTTCTGTTCAGTGCCCCTCATTCTTTAGAGACTGTTCTCTTGCCCGTATTCTCAGCCTCTCTGTTTCATCTATCCTCTACATTTAGGCCACAGGGATGTTTTTAAAACATAAATCTGACTGTTCAAATTTATTAACTGAAATTCTGTGCCTAGTACTTTCCAATTTCGCTTATCTGGGATTGTTTAATGGGTGGACTTAATTAGATTTTTTAACTTAAATATTTATATTATCTATTGTATCTCATATGATTTCATGATATATTCCAAGCAATGTGCTTAATTAATTGAATGCATTAAAAATCAGGTTGTTTAATGAAGAATGAATGTATCCATGGTGGTGGGAGGAGTAGAATTGGGCATGAAGTAAACAGTCCACAGCAGATTCAGAAGTAGTAGCAATTTGCCTTTTTATAACCATGATTTGTTTTTTGAGAATTCCAATTCTGTTATGTCTGCTCTCACTGCTGTTAGTTCCAGCTTAGTTAAATGGGAAGTATGAATTATTAGGTGCTCACAATAAAATCTAAAATCTAGAAATTTATAATCCTGTTAAAATGCATTTGATGTCTATCAAATTTCCTACGCACATAATTTCATGAATTGACCAACAAAATAAGACCCAACGCATGTAGGCATGGAACAGACTGACATACCTTGATGTGGGTTTGGGGGGATGAGAAGAGATAAACCAAAGAACTTACATACTTTTATGCATAGCCCATACATGGGCGATAGGGTAGTGAAGACGGGGGGGGGGTTGTTAGGGGGCTGGGAGGAGGTAGGTAAAGGGGGAGGAAATGGGAGATATCTAATGCTATCAACATTAAATATATTTTAAAAATGCATTTGATGTCTATCACATTTCCTATGCACATACTGCTGTAATGAACCTGTGGTTATTGATCTTGAACTTATTTTTTATTGAAAGCGCATATTTGTTACTGTTTCTGCTCTGATAGAGTTTGGTTCCTATGAGAGAGAAATGATATGTTCTTTAATTCTAATATTTTTATTGTAAATAAACAAATATTAAAACTATGAAGAGATTTGTAGATGTCTTGATAACCCCAGAGGAGCTTTTTTCTCCCCTTTTTGTGTATTCCAGAATATTTAAAAGTATTTTTGGGGGAGGGGATCTTCTGTATATATGTCTCTTTAACCTATTGGAAACAGTTTTTCTGTTTTAACCTGTATCTACCTCTTGAGACATTTATATGTGATTTTAAAAATCCATTATCATTAAATCACAAAGTGATTCCTATTATAAAAGGTAGGATCCTTCATGTCTGTTAGGTGCAAGTTACCATGGCAACCTAGTAGCAAACTGCAAATCCCAGACTAAGCACAGCAAATAAAAAACATCGTCTTCATGTAGCGCATTATCTTCTGTGTAGTGTAGAATCTCACATTCATTGTAAGAAGCTTATCACACTTACCTTTGTTCATTTCCCTCCCCCCAATTTTATTTGAAAACTGCCGTTTTCTATGAATGGTAAAATTCTAAAAATCAATCAGCTGCTCTCTGAGTGCCTGCTAAGATCATGTTATTAAGCATTAATAAAAACAGTGTCTAAAAGGGCATTTACTGTTGTGCAAACCAAAAAGTAATGTTTCTTTTTTGCTCTTCTATAATAAATGAATTATTGCTCAGTAATTGAGAAGTGAATAGAGGATGGGTGGGAGAGAAGAAAATGTTGGGGGAGGGAAATGGCTTGGTGGTATTCTAGGGAATTTAAATTAGCAACAAGTTGAAACTAATATACATTGAGCCCAGCGGGCTTGGCTCAGTGGTTGAGTGTTGACCTATGAACCAGGAGGTCATGGTTTGATTCTCAGTCAGGGCACATGCCCAAGTTGTGAGCTCGATCCCCAGTGTGGGGCATGCAGGAGGCAGCTGATCAATTATTCTCTCATCATTGATGTTTCTATCTCTCCCTCTCCCTCCCTCTCTGAAATCAATAAAAATATATTTAAATATGTGTACATTGATTCTTGTTATTAAATAATTTGAGGAATATATTTGATTTTCAAGTTTTGAGTTGTGTAAGAGATTCAAAATAAACATTAAATTATATGTAAAATAAAGATTTTTGAGTACTATGTAATTGTGACTGTAATGGTAATGTTTCTAAAGACATTTGTTGAGATTAAATGTCCTTTGGATGTTAACTAATATACCTTTTGAGTGATACATAATTTATCATGATAAATTAGGTTCGTCATTGCCTTCAGGATAGGATAAAGTCCAAGTCCTTTAATGTTGTTTACAATAGTTCTTCTCAAACTTTAATATGCTTA